AAAACCCTGAATAATAGGGTACATTCTGGTTTAAACCCTGTTCCCCCTCCCCCTTAAGGCTAATAAACATTTCCCAATGTCTTTAAATGATTTTCCTAGTAAAACTTGTCACAGCCATATCAATTTCGATTTTGGCCAGCCCTGTTTGTCTATTTACCCCAATCAATCTTTTGTGCCCTTTTAGATGTTTCTAAAATTTGCATTGTGAATAATTCTGGGACCAATATATTTATACAATTCATTTTTAGGCTCATTTCTGATCATTTCTTTTGGAGAAATTCCTGTCAATAGAAATCATTTCAACTATCTTGCACATGTAGGGTTGACTGAACTATGATATCAAATTCACCTCAAAAATGATCGAGTGATTTCATATTCTTACCGGAAAAACAAATGTGCGCTGTTTCTTACACCTTCACTAACAATGGGTATAACCTTTCAATAAATTAATATCCTGCTATTATTAAACTGCATTTTTAACACATGTGACATTGGAACAGTATTTATTATGGTTTATTTTTCTTCTTTGATGAAATGCCCTTTCATATTCTTACCCCATTTTTTCCACTGAAGTTTTTATCTTTTCACACTGATCTGCAAACCCATCTTGTATATAAGATATGGATACTCAGTGTCATGTGTTGTATAAATTCCCTAACACTTTGCCTTTTCATTTATTTAAAATCTTATGAAATAGACAGAATACTTTCTCTCATTCTGGTCTTTCTACATTTCCTTTACGATCTCTTCCTCTTAGTTTATGCTTAAAAAGATATTATTCATTCACATATCAAATATTACTTCTTTTCATCTACTGATAAGCCTGTAATTTTGACAAGTCTGTTTCCCATTCTGTTTACTCCCATGATCTGTCTGATTGGGCCCTGGAGCTTTATCCACACAAGCTGACCCTGAATTCAACCCTGGTGACGGGCATTCACTTATTTTCCAGGAACAAAATGAACAAGGAGTCCGCTGTGCCGGCAAGAACACACAGAGGGGTCTTTCAGAGAACAACTCAATGAGCTTGGTGCTGACAGGAGGTCGGACCAGAGCTGCTCTGGAAGGAACAGGTGACTTTAATGCCACGTTACAGGATTAAGCACATGTGTGGCAGCATCGCCCTATAACCGGTTTGATTCCTGGAAGGATGGGGTGGGGGGGGAGACAAGCTACGTGTTTCCTTGTCTACATTATGTTTCAAGTTGCTGCTTTGCACAACATTTGTGTTGTATTTAATTGTGGACCATGCTTTCTGGAAAAAAAATAAAGCGTGTGTGTGTGTGTGTGTGTGTGTGTGTGTGTGTCTGGAGTGGGGCAAACGGAAGATGTTACTAACCATATTAATAGGTTTTTCTAGAATCCAACTAAATACAGAACCAGAATGGATATAAGTCTAAGGGACTGAGGGCCATGAACTGTATTAAGGACTGAGCTAGGCTGTCAGGGAAAAGTAAAGCTTATCCACTAGAGGGCTTTAAAAATTCTGATAAAGTTAGCATTTGCTCCATGATTTAAGCAATGTCTTGTCTGACGGCGGCCTCTCATATTCACCAAGAACCTGATGAACTTACAGCCCTTTAGAGGCTCAAAGCCACCCTGGATTCGGAGGCAGTCAATTTTTAAAAAGCCACTGGGCTGTGGCCCTTGGCCCAGCAGAGGATGATGTCCTGGCGATAATGAGGGAAGCGTTTTCTACTTATGACTTCATCTACATACTGCATTCTCTCTTAGGTTTACTCTCCTGCAATGTTTAAGGAGATCTGTGAACATTCAAGCAGTTTGGAATATATGAGCATAATATTAAGCAGCATAGTTACTTCGCAAGATTAAATATGCCCATGAATATTAAAAATATAATTTTCCTTAATAACAGATTTTTCTCCACTTCACTTAGCCACAAAACCTTTCCACAGGTACCCAACTGTATATTCAATCATCTGATTTTAACAGCAGGTGTCAATAACAAGACATTGGTTATAATGAACACATGGTGAAATCACAGAACTTCCCAGCATTAAACATTTTCAAGGGAAGAAATTCAATTCCCTCCCGGGGAACACCAGAGTACAGAAAAAAGGAATCAGAAATGAAAAATAACCTCCCCGTGCCTTTGTGACTACAGTTCCACTGCATTTGAACCCCAACTCATCAAGCAAGGCTGAACACGGAGGTCAGAGAAGTGAGGAGCGAGGAGAGCGAGGGCCAGGCTCAACTTGAAAAGCGGTTCAGGAAGGGAGGTGGCTTTGCTAGTGGATCAAGATGAAGCATCTGAAAGAGGTGCTCCCTGCAATTCCCAGAAGGACAGACAGAAGGGGACTAAAGAATGCTCAGCAGGGACAAGATTCCCTAGGAGGGTCTGGAGCGCAGTGACGAGCTGCAGGTGAACTAGCCTGACGCACGGCCTGCTTCGGTGGGGGAAGCTGTGGGTGGTGGTGCGAGACTTTCCTGCTGCCAAAGTGAAAGACGAGAGAGTCCCTTTTTATTTTTTATTTTTAAACATATCTCATCACAAGAATGGGGGCTGCAATATTCTTTAGTAAAAGGACTACTTGATCTGACTAATCATAGTTAAAAGACGACCAATGAGAAGAATGTATTCCCAGAAAAAAGGAAGAAATGGATTCCTTACATTAATACTCTGCACACGTTAGTAAACTATTTCTGTTGATGTGTCCTTTAGGAAAATTGACATAACTTGAGATTATAAATCATGCAAGGGTCTATCTTTTCTCTCTCCTGATGCTGATGCAACACTTAAAAGCAGATATTTTAACTTAATATAAAAGCTGTAAGATGAATTTGACAGGTCCTGCTCTTTAAAATATGCCCAAAAAGAAGACAAGGAAAAAGTCTTGTTTTACTCTTTCTCATTGTTGAAGGAAATATTAATCTCTCCCTTGGAACTGTTAATATTAAATGCTATGTAAAATGCTCAGCTCAGTGCCTGTCCATAGTAAGCGCTCAATTGACTTAAATATAATTATTATCATTATTTTATTAAAGAAGAGCAGTTTCTGAGATAACCTCAACTTTTGAAAATTTGAACTTCACATGACAATGCTAATGCCCTTTCCACATTTCGATCGGAAAAAACTTACCTCTTGCAAATGAGACTCCTTTTTCTTTGCAGACAGATTTAAATGCTTGTCAAGAATAGAATAGTATTTTTCACTCTCCTTGTCAAACTTCTTCTTTCCATCCTAGAAGATCAGAAGAACGACAGAACATTCAAATTGGAGAATCAAGAAAATCTTGATTTTTCACCATCCCCATCAAACATCCAACAAAATTGTTTGAAAAAAGATTTAGTGAGCTTCAGCTATGTGCAAAACTTGATGGAATAGAGTAGGAAGAAGGATGTGAAACAAAAATTACTTGAACATGTATTCTGCTCTCAAAGACGTTCCTGGAACGATCGTATGGAGAGCCGTGGACGACCACAGTAGAGTCCCTTTGGGCAACTTATAACTGGTTCTCAGCCGGAGATTCTGATCTAGTAAATCTGGGGTAAGGACCAAGAGAAAATGTCTCTTTCAGGCTCTTTGGTGATCATGATGAGTTAATGTACCGTCAATTTTGAAAACCACTCGTACACTCTTCACAAAGAATCGTAGTTATTTCCTGGGAGCCACAAAAAAGACGGCCAATATTTCAAACAACTCATTCTTGATAGGAAAGAAAACAGATCCTCAGAAGCTGGCAGCGTGAAAGAATTACAACAGTTCAAGGTCAAATCAAAAGGATGAGCAACATCTGTGTCATAAACACAACAGCCCTCTAATAGCAGACCTTGGCACATCCCTGAAACGTCACTGTTTTGTAGGGGCAGCTGTAACCAGGCTGGCCTTTAGTGGAGGAGGAGGATACAGTGCCTTTCATCCTGTGGCGACGTCTACAGAAATGCAAAGAGAATAAAATCTGAAAGAGAACAGGACACGCCTGGGCCTACGGTCTTCTCTAACTATAAATCTGGTACCCACCAGGTATGCTTTTTTTCCACTTTGGGGTCCATATGACATAAACACTAGCTGCCCACATGCATAAATTTCGCCGGCCAAAGAGGTGCTATTCCTTGCTTTCATTTCAGTGTTTCCTCAGTTACAACAATCACTTTCATCAGAGTCAAGCCTTTTCAAGCCTATTCAAAATGTAGGTTCCTATTTCCCCAGATAGAGATTCAGACATTGTTATCTTTAACAAGCTCTATGATTATCGGGCATAAAACTTTGCTTCATTATTTTTGTAAGTATTCGGAGGAGATTAATCAAAAATAATGGGCGGATGGATGGATGAGGAAGAGACGAGACACCAGGCAGGCCTCTGCCCTTTCTCACAACTCTGAGGTTGTCAGATCCAGGTTATTACAGCCAGATAATCCTATTTTGATCCACTGACACTCTGAACTTTTTTATCTCCTTAATTATATTTCCAGGAACCCATCTTGATCTAGTTGCATATACGGAACTTCAGAAACTTAACTAGTAGCACTGCACTGAATGGGAAGAGCAAGTAGGCTTCTGCTGTAGAAGTTCCAGTCACTCTGAGACCTTGGAAGAGGTACTGATATGTTCGTACATTACAGTGTATATCTGTAATGGGGGGGGGGTCAGAATCGCCAAAGGATAATTATTATTTAAGGAGAAAATGGGACCCTCCTAGGAGAAACACAGCTGGAAAATAAAAAGCCCAAAAGAGGTCTGTTGAGGAAATCACATAACAAAATGCAGAGAAGCAGACCCCAAAAGGAAGCAGAGAAGCCCGAGGTTCAGGATGGGAGGAGCCCGTCCTTTCCTATTGAAACAGACACCTGGGTGAACGTTTCCTTGTTTGCTCAGTGGATGTTACTCTTAAATCTGGCATTTCATGCCCACAACTGGCCTGCCCAGTCAGCCTTTCCAGAAGTCAATCTCACGAGCCCTTTTGAGCTCCTGTTCTTTTTCCTCTACAGACCACCTCCTCTCTGATACACACACGTTCATTTCTTCCAACACCCACATATTCAAGTTACAGCTAGACTTAGCATCCAGCTTCAACAGACCTCACTCACGAGTCCCCTGCATCGACTCTCTCTCCCTTCTGAATGCTCACATAGCTTAATACATGGGTTTCTGACGGTGCTCTTGTCCCATACACTCACGGGGAAATTTATGCATATACCCTATCGTCCTCAAATTTGAAAATTTGAAAGAGTGCTCAATAAATATTTAATGAACAAGTGAGATTATTCCTCTTACAAAACTGGGCAACCACAGACCCTCACAAACATCATATTTGTTCAAAAAACTAACATCCACGATACAAGGGACAATTCTGCACAAGTGGCCGTAACTCCATCCCAGTGATACATGAACCATTTGGGGGCCAACCGGCTGCCTTCCAGTGTAGTACACAAAACTGACTCACTTTCCTCTCACAAGAAGGGGCTTAAAATTTCTCACTGCGCATAGAAGAAACCAGTTAAGGGAGAAGAGAACACAGCTGTGGCGAGTACACTTGTGTCTTTGTTTTCTGGTCAGTGTTTGATGGCATTTTTGGACATGTTAACGCAGTGCCAACACATCAGCATTCCTGGCAATACAAAAGTCACTCCCAGGAACACTTCCTGGATTCTTATTCAAACCCTGGCCCCTCACACCACCAGGCCAGCGAAAAAAGATCTACTCAAAGGTTCCAGTGCTATAGACAACAAAAACACACTTCAGTTCCAGCATTAAATTAAAGAGCTGAGTTGAAAGAGCAGGCCACACGAAGGACAACTATCATCTAGGGGAGCATGTTCCTGAAAACAAAGAGCGCTTCTTGCGGCTCACATCTCCCCCCAAAACCCATGACTGACCGCTCACGGAAGTCAAGTCTTACTTGGATTTCGTAACATAATACCACACAGCTAGCTACCTCTTGTCTTTTGTGTTACTTGTTGTGGGTATCAAGCTACAAATTTTCTCCAAAACCAGTGCTGCAGAAGTAAGGGGAAAATAACCCACGCATCTTTACTGAACACTGTGCGTGATCACTGTTTTCTTTCGCCACAGCATGATTCAAAAAGGAGACTACATTATAATGGGAGATGCTTCCTGTAAAGCCACAAGAAGTGCCTTTGAACTAGGTAGTCACATACAATGAAGCCATATATATGTGTGATATATGTGTGTGTGTGTCTTGTAAAGTCTTAAAATATACCACCAAAAATGGCAAATTAATCCCCAAACCTATAGAATTGGCAAAGGTGTACAACAAGTTCAGGGTCTGCAATCAAATTAGTCTTCCATACTACACTGCATTTACTCTGAGCACATGATCACATTATCACTGAACTTCTAAGATTAGCAACTGTGGTCCTGCCACAGCTTCACTGCACACCCGGAAGTAACAAATGGGATGGAAACTCCAAGTGTCAATTTCACTCTTGGTTGTTGTATAAAATAGAAAAGTCAAATATTCATACAAACTATAGTTCTATCTCATAGATAACAAGTATTGAACTGCACACAATTGTTAAAAACAAGGCCAAAACAACACCTTCCGTTGGCCATAAGATGGTACCAAAGATGAACAGCGGACTTTATCACATTTAGAAAATCACAAATTTTCAAACTGTTATCTAATTGCATTTTTTCCTATAAAGTACTACTGCAAAGCTTTGTTTAAACAACTGTTCTTAGCAACCTTTATTTTTCTTAAATTTTTCTTTGTTTAAAAAAAATTTTATTGAAGTGTAGCTGATTTACAATATTAGTTTCAGGCATACACCAACATGATTCAGTTATACAGATACATACATACACATTTTTTCTTTTCAGATTCTTTTCCATTATATGTTATTATAAGAAATTGAATATAGTTCCCTGTGCTGTACAGTAAGTCCTGTTTGTTTATCTATTTTAAATGTAGTAAGAGTAACCTTTATTTTAATGTTCCCATGATAATTTTTTTTAAATAAAGGAAATGAAAAAATCGTTTCTGTATTTCTTTTTTAAAAATGGAGCATGCATTTAGGATTTATGCATCAGATTTTTCAGGCAATTTCAGGGTTATAATTGCACACAGGATACTGCAAAATTTCCCATGCAACTACTTGTCACCATGTTAGTATCACCAGCAGCTAAATAAGCATTATGCAGGTATTTTGAAAATCCTTCAAGTGAACGCATGGTGGGAGAAACAGTAATGTGAAGAATAATTATAATAAATACCAAGAGCTAAATTTCCATTTCAGAAACACAAGTAATACTTATAAACTGGCACTGTGTTAGGCACCGAGAGGACAAGGTGTAGCCCCAACTACCAATCCAGCCAGACTTCTTCCTCCTCTGGTGATGGATTTACTCACTGCTCAGAAGGGCAGTGTGGGGCAGCATCACCATTTCTAAGTCCTAGTAGGGCCTGATGCTTGGATACTCCATCCACCTGCTACACAGGAGTTTCCTGAGGCCCAAGAGATTCCTGGTATCCAGAAACCCAGGTTGCTAGAGAATCTTAGGATAGCTTTCACAGCAGTGTTCCTCTTGTGTGTGACTGCACGCAGTCTCCCAAAGCCATTCCCCACCAAGCCCCTCCTCCTCGATCTGCTGAAGTCCATTCCAAAAGGGCTCCTTCCTCGGTAGTTGCACCAGCATAATTCATCACATCTCCCTCATTCCAATTGCCTCACCACTACCACCACCAGGCGATCAGATGCAGAAGACCCAACGTTTTCATATTTGCCTTTATAAGAACCTCATAGAAACTGGAAAGGTAGAAAAACAAACAGAAAGAAATGTATGTGAAGGATATAAAGGAATAAGACACAGAAGCAGAAAGCCAAAAGGGTACCAAGCATTACAAAGAGTTTTTCAAAATCATTAGTAATTAAGAGAAAAGCAAATTAAAATATTGAGATATCACATTATATCAGGTATCGACGGGCAAGAACTATTAGGAAGTTGAATAACACTACATGTTGAGAGCATGCAGACAGGAACCCTTGTACCTGGAGGGACCGTAGAGGGGTATAGCCTTTCTACAGAGAAATGCTGCACTCAACATTTCTAAGCGGCATAAGTGTGCCCTAAGAACCAGCTTCTGGGTGTACATCCCAAAAAGATCCTCACCGAAAAGTCCATAAGGAAACACAGATGAGGATATGCCCCTGCGGGGAACAGGACGCTAGCTGTGGTGTTCATTGGTGGACATAAAGTGAATTAGATGCATGCCATGCAGT